CTGACTACTCATCAATTGACTTCAAGTCCTGAATCGTCTAGTGCTTCATCTGGTTCATCAGCTCCAGTTAGCTCATCTGACTATTCATCAATTGCTTCAAGTTCAGAATGGTCTAGTGCTTCATCTGGTTCATCAAGCTCCAGTTAGTTCGTATGACTATTCATCAATTGCTTCAAGCTCCGAATGGTATAGTGCTTCATCTGGTTCATCTGACTACTCATCTATTGCTTCAAGTTCCGAATGGTCTAGTGCTTCATCAGACTACTCCAAAGTTACCACAGTTAAGCCTGGTGAAACTACAGCTTCTCTAGATTTATCTAGCTCATCTGACTACTCATCAATTGCTTCAATTCCTGAATCGTCTAGTGCTTCATCTGGTTCATCAGCTCCAGTTAGCTCATCGGACTACTCATCTATTGCTCCAAGCTCAGAATGGTCTAGTGCTTCATCTGGTTCCTCAGCTCCAGTTAGTTCATCTGACTACTCATCAATTGCTCCAAGTTCAGAACTGTCTAGTGTTTCATCAGCTTCATCAGCTTCAGTTAGCTCATCAGACTACTCATCAATTGCTTCAAGTGGATCTTCCCCATCTAGTAGCTTGTTCAACTCACAGGTGGTATCAAGTTCGGTGTTGTCTAACCTTGGTCCTACTGGCGATTTGTCTTCCAGTGAATCCAAAACTGGCACATCTGACATGTTAGGTTTGTCTTCGTCTTTTGAAAGTTACTCTTCTCATTCCACCTTACATGTTTCTACAACGGTTATGAATGGAACGACATACACTAAGACAGTTGCAGATGCTAGTACTTGGACTACAATCACGGATGATTCTACTATTAGCTTAGAATCTAGCTCGTTATCGGGCTCAACTTCAATCCCTTTTGATAGTTCAATTGGCTCATCTACTCAAGTTTCTTCAACTGAGAAGTCTTCTATCGTTGCTTCTGCACCATCTGAAAATAGTTCTGCTGAGGGACCTTCTTCAATAAGCGTGTCTGTTATTTCAGTTATGTCCAGTTTATCATCAGCTAGTGGAACTGCAACTATCGGGGATTCTAGCATTTTGACAAAGGAGACTGATGTTTCATCAGGTTCAAGTTCGTTGTGGTCCACAGTCAGCTTTTCAAATTCAAGATCTGACATCTATTCATCAAACTCATTCTCAAACTCGGATATGTTGTCATCTGTTCGTGCAACTGCTTCAGCTATCTTATCAGACAGTAAGAGTTCCAGCTTATTGTTCAGCAAAAGCTCCAGTTTTGTACCATTTGAAAGTTCAGTAACAAATTCGGAAAGTATAACATCAATTGATAGTTCTCAAAGCACCAGCCATAGCTCAATAGAACTGTCAGTTTCAACTACAGTCGTGAATGGAACCACTTTAACAAAGACCATTGCAGATGCCAGTACATGGACTACTATTAGTGAAGCTGTTAGCACATCAGGCGAGCTACCTGATAAGTCGTCAATGTCTTCTACAATTCAAGGGATTTCTTCTTCAGTTTTTAAAGAGTCTATCAGTTCAGATGTTTCAAAGTCAAAGTTTGAGAGTTTGCCTTCTAGTGAAAGTGGATCGCAATCATCGCTCCAACCAAGTTTGAACTCTAATTCCAAGCTTTCCAGTTCATCAACTTCGAGTGTCTCATCCCAGATTCCAAGTTCTACTCCACTGGTTTCACATGGAGAAACGACTACTACAATAGTTGTGAACGGTACAACTCATACAATTGCAGCAGCTAGTACATGGACAACAGTTATTGATAGTGCTGGAGGAACAACGATGACCATGATCATTCCAACTGATAGCGATACAACCATTGAAGCTACTGCCACATCTGAAGATTTGAAGAGTAAAAGTCTTTCAGATTCTTCTATATCATCGGGTCCAATGTCACAAGCTACTTCCAATGCAAATTCAAGCTCGGCTAAGTCGACTAGGTCACTACTTCCACGTTCAAGTTTCACTATATCAGCTATCACTTCATCTTCATCAATTTGTGTTGTTGCTGAGTACCAGACTTTTACTCAAAATGTTTTAACAGCAGTTCCTAAATATGATGCTTCAAGTAGTATTACTGGTTGGAAAGATACAACTTTGAATGTCCCATTTGTATCCACAATCTGTTTGCAAAGCAGTGAAATCAGTTCAGTGTCATACTTTTCAAATTATTTGTCATCTTATGGTATTTCATATATTACAAAGGAAATTGACATCACTCATATTAGCAGAACAACTTATTCAGTTACTGAAACTTCAACAAACACTGTTTATGTGACATCTCCTAAGGCATCAGAGAGTACCGAGTCACAAGCAATTAGTTCCACAGCAGCTCCCCATCCTTCTTTATCCCAACAGATCAGTCAAGAAACAGGTGCTACTGGTGGATCATCTACATCCCATCAAAGCAAGGTCGGTTCCACAACAAGAGATGAAACTGCCACTGAAGCTACAAGAACGTCTGGTAACACCGGGCACACTGATAATACTCAAAGTGAAATCAAAACTAGTTTAAGTGGCTCACAATCTGACGAAGCTAAGCATTCAACCTCGATGGAAGGTGGTGATACTGCAACAAGGGGTTCAAGTCATATTGGAACTTCAATTTTTGAAACAACCACTATTGCCGATGATGGTACCACAACTACCCAAGATTCTAATTCAAAGGGTGCTTCAACTACAACAGGATTGAGTGGAACTGAACTACAGTCGTCACACTCAGCTTCAGAGTCCACTGACAGAGGAACTCACTTATCCAATACTCAGAGTAGAACTATTTCAAAAGGTTCTTCTTCCAACAGGTATGATACAAGTGACACAAGTAGAGATGTTGAAGTTAGTACAACAGATGGTTCTTCAGTTCCAACTGCAGTTGCAAGTGTTCAAACTACTGGGGTTCTAAGTGGTGGAGTTTTGTCCGAAAGTTTAAACTCAAAGACTAATCAAGGTAGTGTTACAGATGAAATTACTGCTACTAGTGAAGCAAAACCAAGTCAAAATGGTTCAGATACAATTCCAATAGTTACTTCAGGACCAGAATCAGTTGTTACAAAATCAAATATTGAAGTTTCTGAAAGTCCAAAAAATACTGCTGTTGAGACATCAAAAACTAGTATTGTTAAAACCTCAACTGGTGAAGGCGTTAATTCTTTTGCCACTAACACTCATACCAATGGTGTTGTTGAAACTACAAGTTCTGGTATTACTGAAACTTCAGGTAATGTTGCCACTGGAATTCAGTCTGACAGTATGTTAGTTATGCCTCCCAATTCTGCTGCTTCCAAAAATTCAGACACTACAGCTTCTGTCACAAAATCCAGAGATGGTGATGCTCAGACTTCAAGTTCTGGTACTGCTCAAACGCAAACTGGTGGTTCTGTCTCCAAATCAACTGTGACTGGTGCTGTTGTTAAAACATCTGATAGTACTACTCAAGTGAGTGGAACAAACACATCTGTTGTTGAAACTAAAGCATCCACATCTGCAAATTCTGCTGCTATTGCCAACTCTTCAAGCCCTGGCATTCATCCTGAAACAAAAACTACTGATGCTGTTACAAAATCAAATGGTATTGCTGCTGAAACTTCAAGTTCTGATGGAACTAACCTTTCAACTATTGGTGATTCTGATGCTACAACAGCTGCTTCTGGTGTTGCAAATTCTGCTGGATTATCAAGTGGTGACGCAACTGGTACAACTGCTGCTGAACAACCTAGTGCAACAATATCTGGAGCCAATCCTTCATTACCAACATCTGGAAATTCCACAACAAATGGAACTATTCCTGGAATTGAAACTACCAGTGGTGCTTCTTCTATTCATAAGTCTGGATACAAATTTTTGTTGATGATCACTTCTTTCATTACTTTTATCGTTATTGTCTAAACTGATTTAGATATGAGCTTTTATTTATTTTGAGATTTTTTGCATTCAATCAAGTTCTTTTTTTATTACAATCATTTTTTTTCTTCCTTATTCATGCCCTTTTATGCCCTACAGTCTTCTTGCATTTCCTTTTTTTACCTTTGTCATTACGTGCAAATTAGTTATAGATTATACTTTGTTATTATTATAGATATCTATTTATGTATGATACCATTAATATTTATGTTATGTGTTATATTATAATTAGATTTTCCAATTGTACAGTGCGCTATTGTCGATAAGATCAATGAGCAAGTCGACGTCATTGATGAACTTCAGTCTCAGGCTAGAAGCTGGAGCATTGTCTATTATTTTACTTGACCAACACGTACTAGCTTTCAAATCCCTACATTAGTATATTAAAGATAATTATATCAAAAATTAAAGATGAGAGCTAAAATGGTAAACTAAATGTATGAAATATAAGAAATAAATAAACGGAATGGAAGTAAGTATTGAAGGTAACAAAATCTATTGGAGGACCAACCTAATTCATTTGACTCTGAGAGTTTTCAAAGAATACCAAAAGCAAATAGAGGCAGCCATATCATGAGACGAATTTTTTTGGGAATGAATCAACCTAATCAATTTCAGTATACTCAGTTGATGTAACTTCTTGTGACCAAGTGTTACCATTACAAGTATCAAAATAACGAGTAACGGCATATTGTGTCAAAATAAGAACATTGGTACCTTTGACACCGGTTTCAACACTCAAAAGCTGAGTGGTATCAGTAGGGGTTTCACAGGATGTTATATAAGACCCAGTTAATGATTGAGCTAGTTAAATAACGTTAGTATTTGAGATTCACATTAAAACGTAGTCTCTCACAACTCACCTTGAACATTCATGAAGAGAGCAGAAAGAGCGACGATTGGTAAGAACTTCATTTTGATATTAGATTATTGGATTGGTATGCAAAATTTTTCCAGATAATTATTCTTAATTTGAAGGGATTTGTATAATTCTTATATACAAATGTTGTGTTGAAAAGATTTGTTATTTTTGATGTAAGAATGTATTTCCCATATTAGGACAATAGAATGGTGTTTTAAACGTTTTTTCAAAAAGTTCAAGCTTCATGAATGTGAGCCCCAAAACCTATAAGGGTTCAACTTCAAGCATCAGGTAATTCTTGAGTACGAGAAATTGTAGTGATGAGCTCCATTGTGTGATCCCGATATGGTAATTAACAAGATCCATTTTTCAAAAACACACTAAATAGAATCTTGAAACTTTTTGTTTCTTTTTGTTTGTAGCTGCTTAAAAAAGGAATAACTCATGCTATTGAAACTCTTCAAGTTGAAAGACGTTGTAGGTTAAAAATGCTGAACAGGCAGAACAGATATGTAATGTTTGTTTTCATCAAGCTGTTTGTGTTGATGTTTCACAACGACAATAAACAACAACATGGCTCATTAGCTTTTGAGGTATAGCTATAATTAAATGTAGTCTGATGATAGTTTGATGGGGCCTATGTTAAGACGGTTCAGAGATACCATCATCTTTATGAATGTAAACTAGCATAATGGCAAAGGGTCTCTGAAGGTTGAGGATTTGAGAAGTCGAAATCCATCTTATGAAACTTTGTAGATTTTGTTCGCGAAATTCGCGGGAAAGACTGGTTAAGACACAGGCGGGTACTCAAAAATTTAAGGCGCAGTGTTTGATTTAGACTTTAGGCAGGATTTGAAAAGTAGTTGCACGAGAAAACTGCAGACGATAACTATGAAGTTAACCGAATCTTTCAGATCGAATAACCCAGCTAGACTTAATGCTGTGACAAACGTGGAATATGAGCATTGAAACCTTCGAGGCCACAACTGGGAGTAGTCTTGTGACTGGTCCCCCAGCTGGCAGGTTGACTTGAAAATCCACGTATATCTGATAATCATTGATGAAGATAGTAGAGGGTTGACGCAAATGAGTTATATGATCGGAGAAGCAAAGTATTGATGTCAAAACCATTCGTGGTTATAAACATTCATTCGTCTTGACTCTTTGATTCTTCAGGCTTCTGTCATTTGAAGGGAATGCTTTTTTCAATCACCGACCTGTTTGTTGACTGTCAGACATACATTACACGCCGCTTAAGCTTCAATCACTGAACCAGTTTGATATCTTGATTTCAGAAAAAACCGTCCAAATATCATGAAACTTGAAGCACAATCAAAAGAGCCCATACGAAACGACGTGTATTCTGTATATCTTTCTTGTATACACCAGGATCTCAAAACCTTTTATTCGTTTCAAGCTGCGAGGCGCGTAGCGAAACTTTTTTTGGGCCCGACTCGCGTTTTTGTTGCAGCAGTAGAGATGTCAAAAGGTAACAGAGGTGCACCAAAAAGGTACACTTGAGTTTTGGCTCTTGACTGCAAGCTTTGAAGCTTGGATTGATTCAGGATGGATAGACACTCAAAAGAGTCTAATGCATTCATTAAAGTTCGAACATTCTGTATTCAGATTGGAGGTGAACTAAATTAGGTTCGCTACCACCGGATAGATACACAAGCTGTTTCAGCCTGAGCCTTGTTCAAATGTACTACAAACAAACCCACTCCTGTGTACAACAGCTTGATATTGGCCAATGAATGTATGATGTTGATTCTTGATGTAGTTACCCAAGAATTTTGATGGACTCTGAGAACTTTCAAGTACAAATGTTCACACATAAAGCTGAATCGAGACTTTTTGACTAGTTTCGGAATAGATTGCTCTCACGACAAGCCAAAGGTGTATTTTCATATGGATCGAAATAACCTTGATGAAAGGTTCTTGAAGACAACTGAACTGCACTTTTCCAAATGAGTAGCAGCCCTATCTTTTTCTGGCTAATTCAACCTTTCTTCATCTTTGAAAAGTTTCGGATGGTGGTTGGTATATGTTTGTCCAAAATGTCCTATTTCAGATCTAAGGTACAAGAAAATTTCTGGGACATTCACCTTTACAGCCTCTTCTACTTACATAAGCACCATAGTTAAAGGAGTAGTAACCCGCTCCTACCTCGCGAAATGTCCACAAAAGGCTGTGGGCGAACCAAGGAAAGTTAAAAAAAGAACAGACATTTTTTTTGAGAGAAACCATCAAGTTTTTTTTTGAGCAGTGCTTTTCCGTTCGTTTTGATCTAAAAAACAGATACACTCAACAGGAAGAAAACTTCAACACAAAGCAAGAAGCTGATATCGCGCTGGATAGTTCTTGTCAATCATATCAGATCACTCAGCTACATCCAAGGTATTAGCAACAAGAAAACCCGCTTCATTTTGACTCGTTTTCAAAGCAGCCATCAGTTTTTGCTTCCCAGCTCCTTACTCTCGTTTTTTTTCCTTATAAACAAAACAAAGCTCAATTCATCAACTGAAGGTAGCAATAACCACAAAAAAACTTGGTTTATTAGCTAGAAGGAAACAGCGCTGAAGTTATTTGTTTGATTTATTGCTCGTACTGTTCATTGAATAGCTTTTTCACAAGAAAAATAACGCTTGTTTTGGTTTTACCTCATCAAATATTGAACGCGTATTATAGCTAAAAGTTTTTGTCTCACACAACCGCTCAAACAGCTCATAATAAAACTTTGGGAAATATTCGTCGAATTATAATTTGGAAAGGTGCTGCACATTCTTCCTTTATTTCTACCTTGACACACTCATTCATTGACGTTTTTTTCACAATTCTCATCACAATATGTCCACAAGAAATTTAACTGATCGTTCTCCAATAGTTGGTAACAGCTCAGAGTCTTCAGATTCAGAACCAAAGAATCCTTTTATACAGGATGAATTAAACTCTCTTGATGATTCAAATAGCAGTGATGATTCCAGAGCTAACTTGAACCGTTCAAAAGTTTCAAAACCTTATATTGATTATTCAGGGTATTACAGTCAACAAGGTTCATCTTCAAATTCATTAAATCCACAAAATAACAATTCATATTCTTCATCCAATATTTCAGGTTTGGGTCAACAACGTCATTTATCTGTTAACAACGATGTCTATTCCCCTCCTGAATATGATAGATATCCAACTTTAGCTGGTTCAAGAGTTGGTTCAATGGCTACTTCGTTAAATTCTACAACAAATTTACAAGATCATCACAAAAAGAACTCTATGATTTCTGAAAATTCTTCAAACTCTGATGGATCTTCAAACCCATTTTTGGTTGATGCTGACTTTAGTCCTTTTGGTGGTTATCCAGCATCATCTTTCCCATTACATATTGATGAAAAAGAACCAGATGATTATATACATAACCCTGATCCTATTGCTGATGCGTACCTAGATAAACATAGATTCTTGAATGATTTCAAACACATGGATAAAAGATCAGCTGGTGGTTTGATTGGTTTATTAGCTTTATTTTTAGGTGCTATTGCACTTTTCGTCGTTTTACCAGCTTTGACATATTCAGGTGTTGTTGACCATGGTGAAGGTGATGTCCGTGAAATTTTAACTTTCTACTCTTATCCAACGTTAGGTGCTATCAGAACTAGTTTAGTTGATCCTGATACTCCAAAGGACGCTTATGAAAAAACATCCAAATCCGGTGATACATGGCAATTGGTGTTTTCAGATGAATTCAATGCAGAAGGTCGTACTTTCTATCCAGGTGATAGTCAATTTTGGACTGCACCAGATATTCATTATGATGCTACAAAAGATTTAGAATGGTATGATCCAGATGCTTCAACTACCAAAAATGGTACATTGCAATTAAGAATGGATGTTTTCAAAAACCACGATTTGTTTTACAGATCAGGTATGCTTCAGTCTTGGAACCAAATGTGTTTTAGTCAAGGTCATATTGAAGTCTCATCAAAATTGCCAAATTTTGGTAATGTTTCTGGTTTATGGCCTGGTCTTTGGACATTAGGTAACTTGGGTAGACCAGGTTATTTGGCTTCCACCGAAGCTGTTTGGCCATATAGTTATGAATCTTGTGATGCTGGTATCACTGCTAATCAATCCTCTGAGGATGGTATCAGTTATTTGAAAGGACAAAAATTGAGTGCTTGTGTATGTGATGGTGAAGATCATCCAAACCCAGGTGTTGGTAGAGGTGCCCCAGAAATTGATATTCTTGAAGGTGAAGTTGATACTACATTGAAGGTTGGTGTTGCTTCTCAATCTTACCAAGTTGCTCCTTATGATATCTGGTATATTCCAGATTATGATTTTGTTGAAATTCATAATTCTTCAACCACTGTCATGAATACATATTGTGGTGGTCCGTTCCAACAAGCCATTTCAGCTGTTACTACTTTGAACACTTCATGGTACGAATTTGGTGATACAGATGGACATCACTTCCAAAAATACGGTTATGAATTTATGAGTGATAACGATGATGGTTATATTAGATGGTTTGTTGGTGATAATCCAACAATGACTTTGAATGCTGCTGCCTTACATCCAAATGGTAATATTGACTGGAGACGTATTCCAAAAGAACCAATGTCTATCATTTTGAACTTGGGTATTTCAAATAATTGGGCTTATATCGATTGGCCATCAATCATGTTCCCTGTTACCCATTCGATTGATTATGTCCGTGTTTATCAACCACCAAATGCCATTTCTATTACTTGTGACCCACCTGAATATCCAACATATGACTATATTCAAAACCATTTGAATGCTTATCAAAATCCAAACTTGACCTCTTGGGCTGATGCTGGTTACTCTTTCCCAAAGAATGCACTATTGAATAACTGTAAGAGTAGCAATTACAAGGGTACTGTTGGTCAAGCAAGCAATTAAGTGAATTAACATCATTGTTACTAGTTGTTCCATGTCATAGTTCATTATCATCATCATCATCATTATTATCATCATTATCATTCCCAGTTATTCACATTATCATTATTTGTTCTCATTACTATCACCATTTATCATTCGTATGTTCATTTTAAAGCATTCATGATGATGTTTCATAAATATTGTATTTTTAGAGTTTACAGGTTGGTTTTTTTTATTTCTCCATTACAAATAGTTTGAGTTTATGTGATTAGTTTTCAAGGTGGTTTTTCATACAACATACAAAATATCAAAAGACACAATCTGGAAAGAGGGAGAAGCTCTCTCGGTTTATTTTTTTAATTGAAATAAAGACTTCGTTCATTTTTTTGGTTTATCCTAAAAATATGCAAATTGTAGACCTTTTTATACTAAGTTGTGTAAAGTTTGGCAACTTCAACTAACAGTGAGATTCGTTTCCTTATCTCCACTATATAATACTTTGTATTATATTTCAAGCTATCGGAGACATTGAGCTGTGTTTCTAATTGATGTAAGGCTTTGTAAGCTGAATTGAAATCTAACTCCTTCACTTTATTGTCATCGAATTGTTGGAGTATTGATAAGTCACTTGCTTCTTGGACATTCTTTTTGAAGATCTTTGCTCCCAATAAAAAACTTTTGAAAATTCCAGCTTTTTCATCCTCAGATTTCTTATTATATATGATGTATTCTTTATAGATCTTTTCTTTATCTTTGTCTCCAAGTTTCAACTTTTTTAGCTGTTTCTTCCATTTCTTTTTGAAATCAACATATAATCTTTCCAATTCTTTGGTTTCCAAAAACTTGATATATTCGACAAGCGGCTCTTCCTCAGCTTCTGCTTCTTCAGCTGTTTCTTGTGCCAAAGCATTGATCTCTTTCTGTTGAACTGCAGCAGAGGCCCATTGATCATAAATCCTCTTTCTTTCTTTGTTACTATCAATTTCATGAAACCTTGAATCATTTATAATTTTTAGCGATTCTAACTCCCAAGGACTATATGGATTGAGTGATGATTCTTGGAGTAACTGTAGGAATAGAAGTTCAGAGTCTTGAGTAGATGTCTTTTCCTCTTCATCTGACGAGAGACCTTCTAAATCAGCAAGATCAAAAGCATTCTCTTCCTCGGAGGATTCACCATCTTCTAATGGAGTCTCTTCGTCATTAGTGATACGTTCAATTTGGTTGATATCATCAATTGAGTTATCTTTTGGGTCCACATTAATCTGTTGGCCTTTTTCGCCTTCGTCTTCATTCGCTTTCTCTTCATCCTCGTCAGAATCATCATCACTTGAAGAATAACCCGAAACCAATGGGGTTGTGCTCTTCATGACAACTTGATCTGTAGAATCCTCTCTACCACCTACCAAGTTTTTGATTAGATCATTATCATCTTGACCAGGTTCCTCTACAAATTCTTCTTTTGCTTTCAATTCATGTTGGAGTTTTTCCTCAACATCATCATCAAGTTTAAGTCCTCTAGACTTTGCAATAAGCAACAAAAGGTTATCTTTCTCGATCTCTTTCATAGAATTATTCAATTCAGCATCCTCAACTCTCCAATGGGATTCCTTGGTGGTTTTGTTGTAGAAGAAATGAGTTCCCTTGTTGGTGAATACTAATACCCAATCTGTACCAGCTAAGTCAATTCTGAAAATGGTTAGCTGTCAATGTCCGATTGAAATAAACAAGTAGTTCAACTTACTTAAATGTAGGCCGTATTATATCCTCTACCTTTTGCCTTTTGTCAGGGACGTATTTCTGACCTTTATGTGATTTTTGTTTTGCATTAGCGCCTTGGTCTGTTTGAGATTGGTTAGTTCACATCAGGTTGGTTTGAAACTTCAAAATACTAACTTTTGGGTCTTGAGTCATGCTGTTTATTATCTAACTTTCCTGACCCACGCTCAGCATCCATTCTGACCTTCACTATCCCTTTGATCGAAACGAAACAATAGCTTTTATGTCAAAGTGTTTATGTTTTGGCTTCGTATGGCTTCAATTTTCAGGGTAAATTTTTTGGCTTTCGCGAATTTCTGAAATCTCTGGCGAAATCTTGAAAATATCAAAGCTCCTATAGTGAGAATCCACATCGAAGCCAGATCAACTTCACACAATTTCTAGTTTCAAGAATAGAAACAATTGAAGTGTGAAATCTATCAATTGACTTAGGAAAATGGGATCAAGAAGATACGATAGTCGAACCACAATCTTTTCACCAGAAGGTCGTCTTTATCAAGTATGTTTATTCAACCCACAGAAATATTAGTGGCGTATACATAAGATCCATCAATAAGCATGAAATTCAATGGATGTGCCCTAATATTCTACATTTATCAGAAGCCATATACTGACACCTACTAGGTTGAATATGCTTTAGAAGCCATTTCACATGCTGGTACTGCAATTGGTATTCTTGCCACTGACGGTATTGTTTTAGCTGCTGAACGTAAAGTTACAAGTAAATTGTTAGAACAAGATACTTCAGCTGAAAAGATATACACATTAAATGAGTAAGTAACATGAGTAGTGCTTGAGTTTTCAGCTTAGCTAACAACTTTGGATAGTAATGTTGCAGTTGCAGTTGCAGGTATGACAGCAGATGCTGGTATTTTAATAAACAGTGCTAGAATACAAGCACAGAACTACTTAAAGACATATAATGAAGAGATCCCAGTTGAACTATTGGTGCGTCGTCTTTGTGATATAAAACAAGGTTATACACAACACGGTGGTTTAAGACCATTTGGTGTTTCTTTCATCTATGCTGGTTATGACGAAAGATACGATTATCAATTATACACATCTAATCCATCTGGTAATTATTCTGGTTGGAAAGCTACAAGTATTGGTGCTAACAATGCTGCTGCTCAAACATTATTAAAACAAGATTATAAGAATGATATCACTTTGAATCAAGCTTCAGAATTAGCATTGAAGGTTCTTTCGAAAACAATGGATACCACCACATTATCAAGTGAAAAAATAGAGTTTGCTACAATTCAAAAGGATAAAAATGGGAAAATCTATCAACGTTTATGGAAACCAGCTGAAATCGAAGCATTATTAAACGAGACTGGTATCACTAAAAAAGAGGATGATGAAGAATAAACGTTGTGAAAGATCATTTCTATTAGAGCTTTTTGTATAAATCTGCCTATTCCAATCATGAATTTCTGTTACTTCGATTCTTGGAAGTTGTAGTTTTCATCAGCTATGTGATTTATAGCAGCCTCGTCGCGAATGGTCAAAAAAATTAAATATGAAAACAAAAACAATAAATTAGCATTTCTCGAGTATCCACCACAAAGTCAACAGCTAAGCATTAAATGGTTCTAGGGTGAGTGTATTCGCTTACTGAATTTATAGTGCAAAACTAACTGTTTCAGATCTTTTGTCACCATTGCAGATGTTCCTGTCGGTTATTCTACACCAAAGTTCCCATCTTTATATTGGCCAGTGAACAATAAAATGTATACGGTTTCATATCTTTATTATACCTATGATATTTGGAAGTTCACTATTTTTTGGAGCTTGATCTTTTTCATTGGATTCTATGGCGCTGCTGGGTTGTGGGCTGCACTTGTTCACAGGAAGCTCGCTGGGGGCTGTTGGATTCTAGGATTTTATGTTCTAATAGGAGGAGTACAGGGTATAATATCCGGAACTGTTGTTGGGCTAGTGTGAGTTGAAAACATTTGCTTTACAGTATTCGTTTGCATACTAACAATTTCGAAATAGGTTATCAGCCATTTACAGAGCTGGGTTATTCTCAATGTCAACATGGATTCCACTATGCTCTGGAGTATTTCAGATCCTTTTCAATGTTGTCACTTCATATTCGATGATGTCAGTTATATTCTAATCATTTCATCTACTGCTTTGATGAATGTGAAATTGTGCTGGATTTTATGTTTTGTGCGCACGTTTATTTCCTAATTCGGAAGTCTAGGCTGATGGCACTGCCAGTGGTTTTTAACTTCTCAGTTATAAACGTACCGGGTTTTCTTTACTTTTCTTTCACCAGGATCATTTGACACCAACCAACATATTGGTATAGAGATAATTAGATTATTTAACTTACTGGAAAGATGTCAGCTCCATTAGTCAACCGTTCATTAGCCACTTTGAAAACCGTGAGTACCTGAGATCAAAATTCACCTTTTAACGGATTAACTAACCTATCTTAATAGGAGTTGGAATTTCTACGTGATTCTGAAGTTATTACTGAAGGTTTTTACAATCAAATAGTTGAAAAGCTACCACATCGTTATCAAGCTGGTGCACCACCTGTAGATGTTATTGGTTCTTCAAATTCAACACCTTCTTCTGCAGCACCAACCCCAATCAATGAAAAAAGTAATGCACTAGTTCCACAACCAACTAATGAATCTTCAAATAATGCTGAATACGTTGAAGCCATTTATGATTACAGACCACAACAACCAGAAGATTTGGAATTCAGAGCAGGTGATAAGATTCAAGTTTTAGAACATACATCTCCTGATTGGTGGAAAGGTGCTATTGGTTCAAGATCAGGTATGTTTCCATCAAACTATGTCAAAAAGCTTGAAGAAAGAAGACAAGCACCATCACCAGCTCCAGCATACCGTAGTAATGAACTACAACCTCAACCAACAAATCAAAGTCAACAATATGCCCCTCCACCACATCAACAACCTCCATATATGTATCAACAACCCCCATATGGATCATCACAACAAGTTCAATATCCACCATACCAAGGTTCACCATATCAACAACAACCTGTTCAATATCAACAACCACAACAACAAGAAGTTGTTGTTCAACAGCAACAACAAGGCGAGGGTGGTGGTCATTTGAAAAAGTTTGGTTCAAAATTGGGTAATGCTGCTATTTTCGGTGCTGGTGCCACTATTGGTTCTGATATTGTTAATTCAATCTTTTAATAAAACTATATAGCTTTTGATGTGCAGTGTGTTTTTGGTTTTTAGTATAATGATTGCGGCGTATAATTAATGAATGAGTAAAGATATTGGTTTATACATTGTAGTTTGCACGTATGAATGTGTATTTAGTTCATTATAAAGTTCTCATTATTTAAATTATATTGGTGGTCAATTGATGAAATGACCAAATGTGTTGTAAATTCTTTGAACTGTGTTCAACTTTGCGTTTGGTTTCAAGTTTTTATCATTCAAATCATTAACGTCTCTCAACCATTCAAATCTTCTATTCTTTGGAATGATAAATAATCCATTATTTCTTAATGAAATAATTTCTAAAAGCAACATACCATTAGTGTAATTCAATTCATCTTTGTTTCCAGTTGATCCTTCATCGATCTTGTTTAGTAATCGTTGAATATTGTTCAAATTCTTGGAAACAATTAATTTTCTTTCACCAGTACCTCTTGAGATATAACCTTTTTGAATATAAGAATTGATAGCCTTCAACAAATACACGACAATCACTAAACTTGGAGATGCTGCAACTATACCAAACACTAGTTCTTGAGATTTTAATAATTTATCAATACCATTTATAGCCACTGCACCATCGACTTTTGTCTTTTGTAATTGAATTAATAAAGCTCTTGTTAATTTCCCCTTGATCAAATTCTTCAAAGGATTTTTTATATCATTTTCATAATCTTTCATAAGAGGAGTTAAATCACCACTTGATACTAATCTATCCAGTTCTTGTTTTAGGATTTCTAAATCTGTTGATTTCAGATTTTTATAATCTGGTGAATTTTCTAGAGTATATTCAATAACCATTCTTTTCAAAGATTCTAAATCAGAATCTAATGATTTTTGTGACATTATTGAAATTTCTGAATTATCATCATGACGAATTGTTGATAAAATGTTTGAAACTGGTTTCAATATCCAATTTTTCCAAAAGCCTTGAACTGTTTCAATCAAATTATTTTGAATGAAATTAACGATTTCATCTTTATTCGTAATGACTGTTATTACGGCAGATGGTCCATATAGCCCTGTTAATAAAATAGAAGGCCAATATCTTGTAAGGAAACTTGGCTTTGAGTTTCCAGATCTTATTGATTGAACTTGTTTCTTGATCTTTGGCAATGAGGAATTTGAAATGTTGTACAAGTTTGGTAATAAATCACTGGTTGATTCACCATTATCCGACAAAACAAAGTTTAAAGATTGTAAACTTTCATTAATTTTGTTTGTATCATTATGAATTTTCTTCAAGTTTGGAACGTTTGTTATCAAAGAACCCAGCTTTTTAGCATTATCAGATTGAAGATCAATTAGTTTTGCTTTCTTTGATTGTACTTCTTGAGTTATTGAAACAAATGGAGCACCTAAAATAACTGATAAATAGTTTTTAAACCTTGGAGGATTCTTTTTAATATCAAACATATTGAAGTTTTTGTTTGAACTTAATGATTTGTAAAAACCTTTGATATTATTAGCCAAAATGTTGTTGTATAGAGAATGTGTCAAGATGTTGCGATAATGAACAAACAGTTTATAAGAATTGGTATAAGATGGATGGTTTTGAACGATAAATTGTGGGACCTGGATATCTAGAGTTGACACATTTGGATTGGCTGCTTTTTTCAAATCATTGAAAACACTTTGAATTAGTTGAGAGCTTCTTTCAGGCAAAGTTTGAAGGGAATATAAAGCAGTTCTCCAAGTGGAAGATGAAACAATATCCCAATAGAAAATATCATCATTCAAAGGAACTGTATAATTCAAATACTGTGTTAAAGTGATTTGATATAAGGATAATAATGCATAAAGAACAATCAAATTTTCCAATTTACCAACCAACTCTATTTCTTTCAGAGCTAACGGATCAACATTCGAAGCAGCATTAGCAGTGGATTTCACTTTTGAATAAATAGAACCATTCTTAAATGGTTCCAAAATATCCACAACTTTATTCAATTTGACACTCTTATCATTCAAATCAATATTACGCTTAGATGATGTGATATTTGAAGAATTATTCTTCTTCAAGGTTGATACCAATTCAAAGATCTCATTGAATTTAGTTTGAACAGTTGATAATTGATCAATCACTTCATCTTGATTAGGGATCTCACCATAAGATACAGAAACCAAATTGGTAGCGCCATCATTGACATGAAGTTCAGCAATCTGATTGAGTATTGAATTTGAATATTCTTCCAGGAAGGATAAGTTATCCTGTATTGAATCGTTTATGACACCGCTAATTGACATTATTCTTATGAGCTAGGACTCAATTGAGTACAGCGGTTGTTCCCAAAGGATTTGTTTTGATACTTGTATCTTGAGTTTTAGCAATCTTTTTTTCTCCATGATGAGCTGCTTGGACTGTGCTTCAAACCTTCAAAAACTGTAGCCTCACTGAAATGGAATCACGAAGCCTGGATAAGCGAAATGGTTTGGAGTCGACGAGAAATTGCAGTTGAAATGTTGAGCAGATGAAGATAGATGTTGAAATGTCTTCAAGTAAAAGAATTCATCTAAGCCCTAGTTCATCATGAGCAGTTCACGATCTAACCATTTCTGGGGAATTGGTCCATGGAATGTTCTACACCAAGATTCTATCGTTTATGTCAAATACTTATCGTACAGTTAGGAACAAATAATTACGATACTCAAAGCTTTAAGGTTAATCATTTGTATGATCTTCAGCCTTATTCACGTTTAAACGAGGTTTCATCTCGTTTGAGCATCCACCAAAGATGATACAGATGGTTGTTGACGACCAATTGCCCTCAGGCAAACAGATACTACAACGTAATGCTCTATCAATACATACCCCAAACCTTCTGTCATCTAAACTGTGTCTAAATATTCTTTGTTTTTGTTTTCATTTCAGATTTGTATTACCGTTTTCTATGTTTTTCATGTTGACTTTTAATTACCTTTCTACAAGTGGTTAAATGAAAACAAACTGAAATTTGAAGTGATTCAAGGGAAGACTAGACCAACACCCGAACAAAAGGTTCGTTCCGACGCCACTAGGTAGAGTCGTGGTCTCGGTTCTTCTCCCACACAAAGCAATTTCAGCTATTTAGCAATACTACTACTATACACTTTCTATCGGCTTTAATTACATCAATACGATGACCTTATGGAAAGTGGGAAGCAATTCTCGAGAAAAGATTCCGAAACAAGCGTAGTTGGTGAATAGCGAACAACAAGAGCCCACAGTGTTTAAAACGATTATGTTGTACCATATGTAGTTAATTGTACGATTTGTATGTAGAGGTTTCGAAAGTAGATGAGTCCCTTCAAGTGAGTGAAGTCTGTGGTTAATTAGTCTGCTTCTTTCGGAAACTTGCTACACTTGGAATTCCTGAATTTCCCCTTTGGTCAACAAACGTTCCGGAAAGAGAAATCTGACATGAACAGACCTTTGAATAAAAGAAGAGAATAATTGACAAAATTGTTACTCAAGTACACAAACAAGTTTGATAAATGAGTTAATCATAATCACTTCTATTGAATTATCGTTTTTTCCACCCAATTCCACCAACTATCTCCCCTTAAAATGCTACTTCTTTCTAAAATTTAGCGAGCTAGTCCCGTGTTGGTTGATGCAAGAAGACTTACTAGACCCAGAAATCTGTCAAAACAACCCGGGCACCAAGTAAGGATAGTCAAAATCAAGTTTTAAAAACTCAGGGTATTTATAATTATGAGAGAATCCTTCAAAAAAAAACCATCCTTCCCTAATACTTCTTTCCTCTCTTGTTCAACGAAAAAGTTTTTTGAAAAACTCAATCAATTGAATTCAAATCTCATTATAAAAACTATTGCACAATGGCTCTTTCAATTGCTGACATCTCATTAAGAGGTTTAAATTTTGTCTTCCTTGTTATTGTCCTTGGTTTAACCGGGTCTTTAATTGCTGGTCAAAGCAGACACAACCCTCAAGTTAACTTTGCATTATTTGCTGCTGTTTTCGGTTTAGTTACCTCTTCATTCTATGGTATCATTGCAAACTTTGTTTCATTCTTAGCATGGCCATTAGTTATCTTTATCATAGATTTCTTAAACTTTGTCTTCACTTTTGCAGGTGCCACTGCTTTAGCTGTTGCCATTAGAACCCATTCATGTACCAACCAAAGTTATTTGGATGATAACAAAGTTACTCAAGGTTCAACTGATAGATGCAGAAAAGCTCAAGCTGTTGTTGCCTTCTTGTACTTTTCATTCTTTACCTTTTTAGCTTCATTAGTTTTTTCAAGTTACAGCTTGTTGAGTGGTGGTGCTTTCGGTACAAGAGTTTCAAGAAGAAGCGCTCCAAAAACTGGTATCCCAACCATCTCAACTGTTTAAGTTTAATCAAGTTATATTGAGATGATAGACACCAAGGACAGCAACAAAAAAAAACCCAAAAACCAATAAAGACTTGTTTCCCATTAAAGATTCAAGATAAACTTTGCAAATACAAAGATAACAAAATATATCATACCCTCAACCAATTATAATTTTTTCTAATCCATCAACAATTTTTCTATTATATACACCCTATTCTTCATTTTTTCAATTGACGTTTTTTAACTATTTTTTTTCTCATTTCAAAAGAGGAGAGAGAAAGCAATCAATGCTAGCTGCTGCTATTAATTTGTTTAATCAATATTTATTATCAACTTTGATTCTGTCGTTTTATTTGATTGGGTCTTTCTCTTTCCATAATTATTGAAACCCCCATTGTATTATTTGTGATTTTGCTTTTTTTTAAAAAGGAAGTTAATGAATGAGAAGATGCTCTTCATTCTTCATAATTTTTTAATACATTAATTTAATTAATTTGTGCTACATTAGTGAAAGAATTGATTAAGTACATGAATGAATTGTTTGCATTTGTGGGTTATTTCAATTGTGTAGTACTCTCTATAAGTTTGATTAATTAGTCCTACGTTTGTCTCTGAATTGAGATGGATTAACCGAAGACTGACTCAATTCCTCGTATCTATATAATCTACACACTGTAAACTTTCATTAAACTTATCTTGATCAATCGTTTTTGGTTCCTGTATAAGCTTTTTTGTCATTTTCCACTTGTTTCCCTTCATGTTTTCCAGCTTCCGAGAAGTACCAGCACTTTTTTCGTTCTTCAAAAAAATTATATGAATGTTGTCAAGGGCAACCAACTGTCTGTTTCAGGCAAGTGATTTCCGGATTGGGAAGTGCATCAATACCAAAAAAGTGAAAATTGCGTACAGCATGCTTTTCTACAAAATAATAATAACAAACAGATGAATCTTTGGATGTGTAAAGGGGCTTTAATAATTACATGTGAATTTGTATTTCAACTTGCGAGGTGGTGGCTTCTATCAACTTATGACATTGTAAAGGTGTTCTTTCAAGTTTGACACAAAAAATTCAATGCTTTATAGAATCTCTAACAACTCCAGCCAACTTAAGTAGTCTCTCCTCTGTAAACTTTTGTAAACCAACAATTTGAACAGATATATTAGCCCCATCAAAAAACTCAGCATCATACCTATCATAACAATCTTGATCAAAATGGTTAACTGGCTTATAATTTGGGTCCTTTGGATCAATTTTAGAGTCAACAGTACCCACAGGGATAGGAATTGCTGGTAAATCTAAAACATTATATTGAACGGCATAATCAGCATTGATCTTTGGAACTTTACCTAATCTTGTAGCACAACAGTTCCATGCAGGTGTTAATAATGCATCAATTGGTCTTCCAGTTGAAGTTTTCTCTTTGGTTGATAACCAATATTTAGCAAAAGTTTGTTGATACCTGTACTTCTGACCAGCTAGTTCCCAATATGGCTCAATTGAAGTGATTGGTTTCGGTCTTGATCCTGTTGATGAATACAGCTCATCCATTAATACTGGTTCCCCAGAATTTGCAACTTCTCTGTCTAATTCCAAATAACCATCAACCCCAAAGACTTTATCAGAAAACTCAAATAATTCCATATCACTGATTGGTGGTTCATATTCAATAATTTCATGGCCTTGTTCAATTAATGCTTTTTTAACAACTTCCATCATTCTAACAATTGGTGGATGTGGCATAACAATATTATTCCATTTTTGAAATCCAAATGCTAGCTTTTTAGGAATTTCAACATCAACTTTCCATGGAATTGGTGGAACTTTTGGATCATGAGTCCATTGGAAATCATCACCCAATATATGCTTCCCGAAATATTCTAAATCTTCCAATCTGTTAGCCATTGGACCAATAGTTGATGGATTTATGTCTTGGTGTTCCCAAGAGTTCAAAGCATTCAAATACGAAAATCTATTAGCAGTAGGTCTAATTGACCATATACCATTATAAATAGCAGGTGCTCTTAAACTACCACCAATATCAGTCCCTATTCCCAAAATACAAGCTTTAGCCTTGACAACAACACCTTCACCACCACTTGAACCACCTGGTGAATAGCGTCTATTCAATGCATTTTGGGTATATCCATAAGCACCAGAAAACGTGTCACATAGTAACATTGCCATTGGTACTGTAGTTTTCATATAAAGCAATGCACCTTGTAATCTTAATTGTTTCACCAAGACAGCTTCATCTTCTTCATTTTCCACGACATTGAACAGTTTATGAACATAACCAATTGATGTGGCAACACCTTTAACATTCAACTGATCTTTCAAAGAAACAGGAATACCGTGGAATGGACCAATTAGTTTCCCAGTTTCTGATAAATATTTATCCAATCTTTCAGCTTGTTGGTAAGCTTGATCAAAAAACAATTCTGTACAGCAATTTGTAATTTGATGAGTTAAAGCAGCTCTATGAGTGAATGCTTTGGCAATTTCTAGTGCTGATAATTTCCCTGATAATTGTTCTGAAAGCAATTCATCCAATGTTAAATTTGTAATGTAGATTTCACGTTCATCCAATAGTTTGTCCAAATAGACACAGACATTAGGTTCTTCATCTGGTGATTTGATTTCTTGCAATATCCATTCCTCAGGGATTTGTTTATTAAGAAACTTCTTCTTGCTCTCCACGAGTTCTTCCCAGGATTTCATTGTTGATTATTGAATTAAGTAAAGCTCAGCGTAACTATTTCTTGTTGATGCCAAAATCAATCCATAATCTAGATCAGAAACAATGACTGCTTATATAGATCTAATTCGTCAAAGTTGTGATGAATCATTCTATTGTTCAAATGGTGGGTGAGTCTTCGGCGACATTTTCAAAATGCGCGCGATAAAGTCCTGGAAATGGAAGATAACAGCCTCAGTAAGGCATCGATTTCTTATTGATTATGGCAAGTAAATAAACGGTAAGGTAAGGAACTTAGTTGGGTTTATTAGTAGTTAATTAATTTTTCAAGAATCAAACAACCACTTAATTGAACAAGTTGTGCTCCAAGTTAGAGTAGACGTTGAAATCTTTCATCATAAGAATTCGCAAGTAAATTAGAACAACAGCTACTGAATGATCCGATACATGTCGTACAGGTTGCATTGATCTCAAATGAATAACACTCATTAAATTATAAGCAAGCACCCATATCAGCCTACTTGGTTACAGAATCCCTGACAACTTTAGCCAGCTTGATCAATCTTTCTTCAGTGAATTTTTGTAAACCAACAATTTGCACAGCAGCATTAGCACCATCATAGAAATCTGCATCATAAGAATCATAAACTTCTTGATCACATTTGTTTACAGGTTTATAATTTGGATCCTTCTTGTCCAATTTAGAGTCAGCTTTACCTAAAGGCATTGGAATAGCTGGTAAATCTAAGACATTAAACTGAACGGTATAATCAGCATTTAATTTAGCCATTCTCCCTCTTGGAACAGCACAGCAATTCCATGCAGGTGTTAATAAAGCATCAATTGGTCTACCTGTTGAAGTTTTATCTTTTGTTGATAGCCAATACTTGATGTATTGTTGATGGTATTTATATCTTTGACCAGCTAGTTCCCAATATGATTCAATTGAATTGATTGGTGGAGGAAACTCACCACCGCATAAATATAATAGTTCAGGAATAATTGGTTCACCAGATAGCTCAGCTTCTTTAACGATTTCCTGATATCCATCAACACCAAACACTTTAACACTGAAATCTAGTAGCTCTTGATGAGAAATTGGAGGTTCCCATTCAATAACTTCATGACCTTGTGAAATTAATGATTTTTTAACCGTCTCCATCATCCTAATAATTGGAGGATGGGGCATTGTAATCTTATTCCATTTCATAAATCCAAAAGATAATTTCGAAGGTAACTCGATACTTGTCTTCCATGGGATTGGTGGAACTTTTGGATCATGAATCCATTGATAATCAACGCCTAACAAGTGTTCACCAAAATATTCCAAATCTTCAAGTGAGTTAGCCATTGGACCAATAGTGGAAGCAATGATGTCTTGATTTGCAAATGAATTTTGAACATTCAGATACGAGAATCTATTGATTGTTGGTCTTATTGACCAAATCCCATTATAAATAGCTGGTGTTCTTAAACTACCTGCAATATCAGTTCCAATTCCCAAAATACAAGCTTTTGCCTTGACAACAACACCTTCACCACCACTTGATCCACCTGGAGAATAATGTCTATTTAGAGCATTTTGAGTAGGCCCATAAGCACCAGAAAACGTATCACAAAGCATCATCCCCATTGGAACAACAGTCTTCATATAAAATAGCGCACCTTGACCTCTCAATTGTTTAACCAAAACTGCTTCATCATCATCATTTTCAATAATGTTTCCTAAACGATGAACATAACCAATTGAAGTGGCAACACCTTTAATATTTAATTGATCTTTTAATGAAATAGGGATTCCATGGAATGGACCAATCAGTTTACCAGTTTTAGATAGATAATTATCCAATTTTTCAGCTTGTTCATAAGCTTGTTCGAAAAAAACCTCAGTACAACAATTTGTAATTTGATGGGTTAAAGCAGCTCTATGAGTGAATGCTTTGGCAATTTCTAGAGCTGATAGCTTCCCTGATAATTGTTCTGATAACAATTGTTTCAATGTCAAGTTTGTGATGTAAACTTCACGTTCATCTAAGAGTTTATCCAAATAATCACAAACATTTGGTTCTTCATCTGGAGTTTTAATCTCTTGTAAGATCCATCCTTCAGGGATCTTTGATAAGACAAAGTTCTTTTTGTTTCTAGCTGTTTGTTTCCAAGGTTCCATTGTTGGTTGGTATTGGCTCTTGTATCATTCAAGGAGTCAAGCAAGAGACGCTCTTTAAGTACCCATTTGCTCTGGAGAGTCCATGATCACAGATGCTTATGTAGAAAGGTTAAAGTGATTTGTAGATCAAAAGCCTGAACATGATCTTTTTTGATAACAACCGCCGAAGATATTTCAAAAACACAACAGAATTAGATTAAGCAGCACAACGGTCGCCATCAACAAGGATTGGCATTATCAGTAAACGACATTATCAATAAGCTGAACCTGGATCAACCTGTTCTTCGATTGTTCTACTGTTATATTGTTGACTTGTTTCTCTTTGGTCCTTCAAGGTGAGTGTTGGAGAACTCATTAGGTCCTCGTTGTAGGCATTTTCTATAAGGAGTTAAAGGTATCAATTTTAAAAGTACAACAAGCTACAGCTAAATAAACCACAAAAGATGACGTTAAATAATTAATATATAGTAACAGTAGTAATCAATCTAATTGATAAATGACAAATTGTTATACATGGAAAAGATATAATATAAAAAAACACAAGTACTAAATCACAAAACACTCTAATTTTACCAGCTTATGAACAACATAAAATCTTGGAAAAGAACCCTTTTGAACTTTTCATTGATCCATTTTCATTGTCCAAGCGTTGATTAATTTGTTGAGTAGTTCTTGGCTCCACAATCCCACTGGATGAATGAACTTTTTCCCTTATTGGTGCAGGTTGTTTATTTTGGAATTGTTGTTGATTTAATGCATTACTTGTATTGATTGGTTGCTGTTGTTGTTGTGATAAATTATTAGTTGGTTGTTGTTGAGGTTGAGGTAAAGGATTTTGTTGTATGTTATTATTATTATTATTATTTGTATTGTGATGTCTAGTTCTTCTTTGTTGTTGTTGTTGATGACGATGATGACGATCTTTTTCATTTGGAGGATTTGGATGACCATAACCATGTAGATTTGGTTTTTTATTAATAGTTAAATCCCAACCTTTACCACCATTCAATTTCATCCAATCGTATTGTCCATCAGCAGTTTCACCAATATCAGTTAAAGCAGATAATAATAAATTTCTATAACCTTCATAATTTGGAGTTTCTTCAAAATTTAAATTTCTAACAGTTTCAAGATAAGTTGCAAATTGATGAGGTAAACCAATAGATAAATCGTTTAATGCAGTTGTTCTTTTCTTTTCTCCAATTTTCTCATATTTTTGTTTATTAGTTGGAGCTTTTAAACCTTGCCATGGTAATTGACCTCTTAAGAAATAGAAAAAAACATGACCTAAAGCTTCTAAATCATCTCTTCTTGATTGTTCTCTACCTAAATGAGTATTAATTGACATATATCTTGCAGTCCCACTTAATGATTTTTTCTCTCTATAAGGAATATGTTGTTTTGTTCTTGGATCTCTATATTGTTTAGCCATACCAAAATCAACTAAATGGATTTGATTTTCATCAGGTTGTCCAGGTCTTCCAATTAAAAAATTATCAGGTTTAATATCTCTATAGATCAAATCATGAGCATGTAAAGTTTCAATCAAAGAAATCATTTGTACAGCAACTTGAACAGTAGTTTTAACACTAAAACGACGTCCACACCAATCAAATAAATCTTCTAAAGAAGGACCCAATAAATCAATAACTAAAATGTTGTGTAATCCCTCTTGGCCAAAATAATAAGCATTTGGTATACCATAAGAACCATTCAAATGTTTATAAGTTCTATATTCATCTCTTAATTGAGGTGCTTCAGTTTTTCTTGGTTCAAATTTGATAGCAACAGGAACTTGATTAATCATATTTGTACCTTCAAAAATAACACCAAATGAACCTTCACCGATTTTTTTACCAATTTTATAATGCAATCCAACAATAGTGGAGTTATTACCTCCTTGTTGAGAAGCTGATGATTGTAATTGTTGATGAGGTTGTGATTGTGATTGTTGTTGTTGTTGATATTGAGGATGGTGTGAAGATCCAGTATTCGTTATATTGTTCACGGCAGCTGAAGAAGCTGCAACAGCTGCTGCTGAAGGGTTATTGTTCATACGTCCACTCATGATCTATTATGCTATTGAATTTTTGTTGAATGTTGGATGCTGTTATTGTGATGCTATAATGACGGTAAAAAAATGAATGATTGTGGTAAATAAATAGTTAAAGGGAGAACCCAAATGTGACAGCTTTATTTGTTGAATGCAAAGCAAGGAGAAAGAAAAGCTTTTGAAGCTCTAGATGGTTGATGGAGGTGAAGTTGTTGAAGTTGTTGAAGTATGAGGTGAGGGCACAAATCAAGCTCGGAAAAAGAAACAGCAAAAAAACTCGACGAGGTGCTCGTGATCTTAATTTCCAAGGGGTTCTAGCTCAGCACAGATCAAAGGGAACTCTGGGTGAGGTTGTGGTGTTCTGAGGGAGAGCACTGTTGAAGAAGGTGTGTGTGTGCCTGGTGGATTCTCACTCTGTTGCAAGAGATCTGAGTTGATATTGGTGGGTTTTCAGGTTATTTTTGTAGTTGTTTTATCAATTGATTTCGATCCATTTTTATCGTACGGTTTTTTTTTCACAAAGTTTTTTTTTTCTGTCTGAATTTCCTTTTTGAAACGAAACAGCAAAAAGTAAAAACCTGAGAAAAGACGTGGATTTGAGGTTAAAAAGGGTGGACGCTGTGGTTGAATGTTTGTCTCTTTGTTATTGGGTGGAATGGTTAGATGAACCACGGGTCTATAAAACGCATCGAGCTGCGAAATTCCAAGGTTATTTCGGGGATCTTTCGCTGATAATGAGCTCCTCGATCTGGGGGTCTTGAAAAAAGCTACGTTCGCGAACCCTGTGTATGAATTTCTTTTCTATTGAGAAACCGTTGAGAGCGTAAAGTTTAAAGGGTACACAGTTTAAGCGACCTTGTACTACATATTAATGATCTAATTTGATTATCATAACACATTCTATTCATACCTCAGTTCCTCTAACAATATAGACATTATCCCCATCTTTCAAACTAGAGCATCTATCACTTGTATTCAACTTGATGAAATTCTCTCCATTCTCCACTTTAAATAAAAATAACCGTTGAGATGAATCATTAGTTCTATTATTAATGTTCTTCAGCTTCAATTGAGTAGCTATACTATCCAACCCTCTCCCAATTGGCCATCCTCTACTTATGAACATTGGACTCTTTGTATCCTTATCAATTTGATTATTTTCTTCATCAAGAACTTGAACCCATATAAAGATTCTTTCGCTCGCTGGTATTTTAGAATCACCTTTTGCCTTTGATTTCAATTGAGCAGCTTCAATAATTCTTTTAGATGGATTACTCGACACTTTCTTAGAACTTTTTGACTTTTTAGCGAAAAAACTCTTGAGTTTTGAAATGGCACTAGTATTATTCTGTTTAATTAATGTACCTTTCAAATTTGTTGGATTGGTTTCTGTTGTTTTCAAGTCAACTTTAAATTTGGAACGATCTGGGAATAATGTAGATGCAGATGGTAAATGAGATGTATCAACATCGATGTTTGTTGTTGGTTTTGGCGAACTGGTCTTAAGTTTCAAGTTGGGACAATTATGAGCTTCAGTTTGTCTATGTTGAGAGCAAAAACTTGATTTACATGAACACTTAAATGGTAAGAAATCAATCTGTCCACAGAATGCACAATGTTCACCAATCTCCATTAGTTCTGTTTTTGACGTTGCTTTGTAGTTTGAATATGCTGTAATAAAGAGTCTCTGATGATTTCTCTAATGCAAGTTGATGGAAATAGAATGATATATGACTTTGTTTTGTTGATGATTAATGAAATTTCTCTTTAGTGGCAACTAGTTTATAATGCAATAGAATGTTCCGGAAGGAATATACGCCACCTTGGGAACCCCAAAAATTTAGAGTCACTTTGTTTCAGCCGATAACAAGCCTTTAAAAATTAAAGAGCAAAGATTCAAAGAATCAATATCAATGATTGTAAAGTTGAATCTCAAGGACTTTGTTCCGTAAATCAACGTTTCTCATCAGAAAATACTGTCAAAATTCGCGAATTGCTGACACGTACAATTCGTGCAGATTCAATAATATTTAGGTGAGTGGGTTCAGTAATTTCAATCTGTTCTATTTGTGGTTCTGATACGTATGGCATATAAAAGCATGGTTGGGCCAGTTAGCGTTCCTATTATAGAAGAGTATAATATACTTTTAAGGAAGCTTAGTTATATTATCGTTTCTCTATGTCTATTATAAGTAGACATGGTGTGGTAAAGTAGTTGCTAGATATCAATTATTGGAGCATCTAATGATAAGACGTATGACATAATTTAGAGCTCGATGACCTGTGATCTAGGAACAATGGAATATACAGTTCGATGAGAGCTTAATAATTGTAGAATCTGATAACTACCGACCGATCTTGGTATAGCTCTTCTAATTAACTCGACAAAAAATACAATCGTCCTAAGTCAGATTTCATGAAGTATTCTAGTTATGTTCAGCTAGTTGATGAAATTATCGTGTTTTTATTGATCAACCACCAACGCCTAGTTAAGGCTGAATACCTTATTTTGAACAGTTTGAGCCTTCAGTTAAGCATGCATCTAATGGGCTTTGAAGATACTTTCATTAGGTTGACAAAGACCATCATGAAAGTCGTAATTTGAACACCAAATGTTACGAGCTAGTTGATTCATTTTATACTTACAAAGCATAAAATCCATCTTCACAAGCTCTTGGGCAATACGTCATGAACTAGTTGGTATTCTATCAACGTTTCTAAGTTTGGTCTCTAATCTCATAAAGGTCAATTAAAGCCTTTAAATCCATACATGGCTTAGTTCCCAATCATAGTCTCCAATTTCCAATCCATCTCTCCCATACTATGTGTCATTACAAATCATCCTCGGACCTCCACATAAAAGATCAAAACAGATAAAGTATTTCGACAGGATTCTTTTTTTTTGGCTTACAAAAGTGAGTCCGTCTAATGTCCGGACGGCAAATTTAAAGTTTTCAGGCCGTTGTGAATCAAAGTTGAAGTGTTGACTTTTCGAGGCCGTTGGAAATACACGTTGACACTTGAAACTCGCCGTTGTTTCGATGGATTTCTAATCCACTTGCTCAAATGAGCAACTCTATGTAAGGCCTGTTGCACTTGAAAATGATTGCAAGTGCGTAACAAATCACTTTTGTATTACAAATGTACTACTGCCACCGCTTCGACTTGCATCTTACACTCTTGAAAAGTATAAAAAAGATAGCGATTCCAACTTTTTCCAAAAACTGACGTCTTTATTTGCAATTGCTATAACACTTATACAACACAATTATACAATCATCCATATTCACAATGTCAGGAAAAACTGTTTTATTAACTGGTGCCTCAGGTTTCATCGCTTTACACATCACTGATGAATTATTAAGAAAAGGATACAAAGTCATTGGTACTGTTAGATCCCAATCAAAAGCTGATAAAATCACAAAACAATTCAAAGAATTATATCCAAATGGGGAATTATCTTTTGAAATAGTTGAAGATATTGCAGCTGAAGGTGCTTTCAATGAAACTTTACAAAAACATCCAGAAATTACAGAAGTTTTACATACTGCTTCTCCATTTTCTTTTGGTTTGAATAAAGATTTGAAAGAAGCTTATTGGATTCCAGCTACTCAAGGTACTAAGAATATCTTAACAGCTATCAAAGATTTCGCTCCACAAGTTAAACATGTTGTTGTTACTTCATCATTTGCTGCAATTGTTGATATTGCTAAATTATTAAGTGATAAATCATTTGTCCATACTGAAGAAACTTGGAACCCAATCACTTGGGATCAAGTTAAAAATGAAGTTGACGCTTACTTTGCTTCCAAGAAATTAGCTGAAGAATTGGCTAGAAACTTTGTTAAAGAACAATCACCAAATTTCACATTAACTACAGTCAATCCACCTTATGTTTTGGGTCCTCAAAAATTCGAAGAAGCTTTAGTTAACCCAACTTTAAACACTTCAGCTGAATATGTCAACAAATTATTAGCAATCAAACCAGATAATGAAGAATTCCAATCACAACCTTCAGGTTTAGCAGTTGATGTTCGTGATGTTGCTAAATTACATGTCTTGCCTTTAGAAAATGAAAAATTGGCAGGTGCAAGATTATTCCCAACCAATGGTGCTTTCATCGGTCAATCAATCTTGGATATTATTCACAAAAACTTCCCAGAATTAGATGGTAAAGTTGGTAAAGGTAAATCTGAAGGTGTTGAAGAATATCTTGCTAACAATTCAGCAAAATACAATGTTTCAAAGACTAAAGAAATCACTGGTATTGAAGAATTCATCCCATTAGAAAAAACTATTGTTGATTCTGTTGCTCAAATCTTGGCTTATAAAAAAGCTCACAATTAGGATCTTTGCATGAATAAATAAACTATTAGAATTAGAATATGAATCGTAGTGCTTTCAACTACAATGATTTTTCATTAATGTCATAAACTTCATTACATCTTCCTCGCTTTATACTCTCCGATATTAATTCTCTTCCTTGGCGGTTCATTTGGAATGTTCTCTGTAAGTTGACTAGTGTTTTCGGCATGACTGACCGTAGTTGATTGAATGGGGCTTGTAGGTTGAGCTGGTTTCAACCTTGGTGCTCTCTTATTATGAAAGACTGATGAACTTTGAGGTTTTGGCCTTATTGGTGATGCTGGTTTTGATCTTTTTGGTGACGTAAGTATTGGTTTTGGTCTTGGTGAGGATGGTTTTGTGATGAAAGGTGTTGGAACTTTTCTTGGGGGCCTTATAACTGGTGTTTTACCTTCAATTGACATTCTTAATGGATTTTTGAAAAGAGTTTGTCTTTGCTTTGCTTCAATCTTGGATTTCATAAAGATTTTAGACCTTTGTGGTTTTGCTATATTTTTAACTCGAGCATTTGGTTCAGGAATAACATCATCTATATGGACCACTCTATTCTCTTCTTTATCCTTTTGTATGGCCTTCATTCTTTGTCTAAGGTTTTCTATAGCTAATTCTTCTTTTTTCAAATAATCTTCTCTATATTTTAAATATAGCAATTTTGACGGTAATTTATATTTTTTGGTATTACCAAGTTGTTGATAAGATATATAGTTATCTAGATTGATATTGGAATAATCACAACCAACTTCATCTAACTGTTGTTTGAAAAAATCTTTAATCTTGCTTGAATTTGTTGTATATCGCTCATGAACATCTTGTGGAAATTCTTTCTTGACTAAGCTTAACCAAACACTTTCATCATCCAACATAAGCCTTGGGTTTGAAGTTTCTAGCTCAATCAATTGCTGTGGGTTGAATCTCAACAAGACTCTTTGGATCAATTGAAATCTTGTGTCACCAAGATCCTTCAAGGCAAGGTAGTTTTGTAGTAGTATATTTTCACAAAGTACACTTAATGGGAACACGGGCATGTTTTTTTGTGATTTTCAAATTTTTAACGTTGCAAGTTTCACTTGATTATTGATTTCTTTTCCTTGGGATATTATTAAATTCAACATTAATCAAATTATTTGGCTCGTTTTGAAAAGTTCAAAATTGATAGCATATTCTGTCTATCTTCTTTATAATTTCATATTTTTTTTTCATTCTTGAAAAACGCATTCGCGAACTATGATGACTAATTGGTTATATAATCTTTGAGCGAAATCAGTAAAATAACCTAACACCGGTCCCAAGCTCTGACTACGGTCCATTATTACTTTATAGTTTGAAGCTCCTGGTGTTTTTCTTTACTTTCTGTTTAAAACTGGATTCAAATTGATGGCAATGAGTAATCTTTATTGATTCAACCAGTTTTGGAAGGACGGCCGAATAAACTAAAAACCGTTTGAGGCCGACGCTAGCCTAATTATCTTCAATTTAATAATATATGATAGTTAAATGGGCTTAATCGCTTGCTGTCGCTGTTCCCGTCAACTTTCTATTGTTGACATTTCGTTTCGTGTACTGGAATTTGTTCCTCTCGAGACTCGTCTGCCCACAAGCGTGTTTAGCGTGGTGAAACTTTGTACCGGCCGTAACATTTGTCAGCCTAGAAAGAGTTGGTTTAGCTGGACATTAACTCAAAGACACAGCTAAAATCAGTACTCGAGCGAAGGAATCCCTGCCTAGCAAATACCACCGATTATTTATAACCTCACCAGTTTAAAGCCATTGAAAACTCACCATTTCAAATCATTTATTCCCGTTTATCTAATTTCGGAACCAACCCAGGTACCGAATTTTTTTTCAACCGTGTTGTAAAACACGAATTTTTAAAAAGGTGCAAATCAAGCTGTATAGGAAAAAAAATTCCAATTGATCTCTTTCCTTTTATACTTCTGTTACTCGTTGTCATTTCATAACATAATTGCCATTTTACTTTGGTACAACTTTCAAATTTGATTGAATCAAGTTTTATATCCATCAAGACCCTTTACCTCATTAGACACATTACTATTCATAAGCCATGGCTATCTTTGGAAAGAAAAAGAAAGAGGAAGCTCCAGAAGAACAAGTGGACCCTTCAAAACTAGTCAAAGTTGATAAACCATTTGAATCTCTTCCACCATCATCTCAAATTCCAAAACAAAATGAATTAACAACCGAACAAGAGGAAAAATATAATAAGGTTTTAAAACATTTCCAAAATCCTGAATTAGAAGTATTCACTACTGAAAAGAATCCAATTGAAAAACGTAAATTATCAAATGTTGAAAAAGCATGGTTAACAAAAGAATGCTTCCTTAGATATTTGAGAGCTACTAAATGGGTTACAGAGGATGCTATCAAAAGAATCGAAGGTTCAATTGCATGGAGAAGAGAATTTGGTATAACTGGTGAAAATGATGAAGTTACTCCAGATTTAGTATCTGAAGAAAACGAAACTGGTAAAGAAGTGATATTAGGTTATGAAAATGATGCTAGACCAATATTATATTTGAAACCTGGTAGACAAAATACAAAGACTTCATTTAGACAAGTTCAACATTTGGTGTTTATGTTGGAAAGAGTTATCGATTATATGCCAGCTGGTCAAGATTCTTTAGCTTTATTGATTGATTTCAAACAATATGATGATGTTCCAAATGTTGGTGGTGGTAAAATTCCTCCTGTTAATACTGGTAGACAAGTTTTACATATTTTACAAACACATTATCCTGAAAGATTAGGAAAAGCATTACTAACAAACATTCCATGGTTAGGCTGGACTTTTCTAAAGATTATCCATCCATTTATTGATCCATTAACCAGAGAGAAACTAGTGTTTGATGAACCATTCCCAAATTATGTTCCTGTGGAACAACTAGATAAATTATATGGAGGTTATGTTGATTTCAAATATGATCATTCTAAATATTGGGATCCAATGAATAAAATTGCAGAAGATAAGAAAAAACATTATCATGATAGATTTGAAAAATTTGGTGGGAAAATTGGATTGAGTGAATATGATTTAAGAGGTGATCATGAAGATTTGGTATATCCTCCAAAGGAATACTATAAAGTGGACTCAAGTAGTGCAAATAGTGCAGTTGATGAAAAAATAGAAGATAAATTATCTGAACAAGTCGAAGGATTGAGTGTTGAAGCTTGAGATATCATTCATAATAATTAATTAATTGATGTTAAGTTACAGTTACTTTTTTTAATGGTTTTGCAATAAAGTTTGAAAATAACAAGTTAGTGAAGGGCATGTCTATATATACAACACATTTTATAACTCTTTGGATACACTGCTTTCATAATAATATTCTATGGTAATGTTTTAATCTTCGTACGAAATCGAAACTACGACCGGGATTAATCGATCACCAGCTTGTATTTCCGAAGCTGAGGAAAAAATAATAACCTCTGCCGAAATCAAAATTTATCGATGGTTTATAAACGATGGGTTGTAACTTCAGATAAGGCTTCATTCCATCCATATTTAATTTCATCCCCATCAATATCATCAAAATGTCCAAAAGCAAATACACAGAACCAGATCAAAATATAGTGGTTGCCTTGGCTAAAGGTGTCTTTGAGCTTCCGTCAACTTTTATCAAAATCAATAAAGACCCAGCATATTCAAGACATACACTATATGCCAAATGGGAGATAACATTATTGAAAACTTTCATCAAGAACCTACACTATAAGCAGTTGCTATTTTTCTCACCAAACAAATCAATAAAATCTCAACTCAAATCCACAAAATCGAAACATGGTTCAGGTCTAAACAATTATGGAAAAGAACTTGAAGGATTTCCAAATGCAGTTTGGCTTGCTGAAAAACCTGGTAGGGAACCAGAAGATCCTGTTATAATTTTTTATCATGGTGGTGGTTACCTATTCCAATTTAGAAGTGATACCCATCTGGTTTATCTAGTGAATTTGGCGAAGAAACTTCCATCACACTCAATACTAATAGTTGATTATCCACTATCATCACATCCAGCACCATTAAATTACAATCTAGACCTTTGGTCATATTTATTCAAAGAAGAAAATTTACAGAATGTTATAACGATGGGTGATTCTGCTGGTGGTCATTTAATTTTATCTTCGTTAGCTTCATTAAAATTAACAACTTCCTCCATGCAACTCCCCAAATTATTCAAACATGTGTTAATCTCTCCATGGATAGATCTTTCATCAATTGCACCTCCAGGGGAAAACCACGATATATTGGATCATGATAGATCTTATGGTTGGGGTGAAATTTTCTCTCATAATAATGAACCAATAGATGTTGCAAATGCAGATTATGGAGGTTTGTTAGATGAACATAACACTTTAGTGACTGTGGGTGAATTAGAAATGCTACGTGCGGGTATAGAGATCTTTGCAAATAGGTATAATTTACCTATTCTTTTGGAAAGTCAAGGAGTTCATGATCAAATTACAATGGAGAAATTTTTGGGATATAAAGAGGGTGATATTTTCGATAGTATTGTGGATTTTTGTAATTAAATAATGATTAATAAATGATGAAATAAAACCATGAAAGTTCATGTTTAGCCAGACCCTTTCATTTCTCTATGGGTGCAGTAATTGGTGATATTTACCCCCAGAAGACCTCTACACACTTTGCTTAGCTACTAATAACGCTTTAAATTGGGGTCTCTTAGAGCATGGAAAGCTGAAAGGTTACATACTCGTACTCTGTGTACATTTTCACTACTATCAATCATAAAGACGACCCAAACCAGTCCAATAACTCCTAGATATTTAATGCGACACACATTTACAACGCTTATACACTTTATGCAATTCCGGTCAAAAGCATGACTTTCACGTGGTTTGCGATTTTTTTTTTTTTGTATACAATAACGTTTATTTCACTTATACTCATTTACAAATTCACTTATCTAAAAAAATTGCACTCTAATTTGTGATTCTAATTGAATCTTAGATGCATCAAAAAAAGCTAATAAAGCTGTGTCACAACTGTTTTCTATCATTTCAATGTTTTTCTTCTTGTAGTTTACGATCCAAGGTAATAATTCTTTGAATTGTATTTGTTTATTTGTGATTTGGCGAAAGTTATCATTGTTTGAACAGCAGCATCATCAAATTTAGGTTCAATTGAACT